CCCCATTTCTCCCTCACTGCACCCTCCCACTGATCCTCGTTAACCTCCCCATTGCTGCCCCAAGGATTCCAGTCCTCTCCCACTGCTCCCCATGATTTCCCCAGTGTCCCCCACTACATCCCCCAATTCAGTCCCCAGTTAACCCTATTTCCCCCTTCCATTCCACTCCCACCCCAGTACCTCCCATTGCCCCCATTCCACCCCCAGTACCTTCCATTGCCCCCATTACACCCCCAGTAACTCCCACTGCCCCCATTCCATCCCATTCTACCCCCAATATCTCCCATTTCCCCCCCATTCCCCCCCAGTATCTCCCATTGTCCCCCTACTGCCCCCCAAAGCTTCCCCCGTTCCCCTCACTGCACCCCTCCACTGTCCCTAATATTTCCCCCATTAACCCCCACGTTATCCCCCATCCCCTCCRTGGGGCTGAGCCCTTGCCGTGGGGTCTCGGCGCAGTTCTGGGGTGCCCCCCACCCCCCCGGGGCTGTACCTGGGCGTTCCCGYTCCCCGCGGCTCGGCGGGGCTCCTGGAGGGGCTGCCGGAGCCGGAGCGGGGGGCTGCACCCCCCCGAGGGGGCAAACACTCCTGCTTGTGYGGCTTCGGGGGRTCYCCCCGGGACTGGGGACCCCKCTCCCGCTCYGCCCCGGCCGGGGGGGGCCCGGYGGGCCGGGGGCGCCGGGGGGTGCTGGGGCTGGTGGCGCGGGATGAAGGGGTGCTGCTTGCTGCTTTTTGGGGGGACATGCCCACGGTGCGGGGCTGGGGCAGGCGGTGAGCTGCAAGGGACAGGGGGGACGTCAGTGGGGACAGTGCTCATTGCCCCCCCAGCCCCTCACAGTGTCCTGGTTTTCCAGGTGGAAAWTCCCAGGAAGTGGTGAAATTAATTTGGGGGAAATCCCCACTTTTCTCACTCCCCTTTTTTCCCTTCCAGCGACCGAATGAACGCCCTGAGGAGCCCAGCCCCAGGGAACGGAATGCCATGGAAAATCAGGGAAAGGAACCCCTGGGGAACCAAGGAATGGAACCCATGAGGAACCAAGGAAAGGAACCCATGGAAAATCAGGGAATGGAACCCATGGAAAATCAGGGAATGGAACCCATGAGGAACCAAGAAAAGGAACACATGGGGAACCAGGGAATGGAACCTATGGGGAACCAAGGAATGGAACCCATGGAAAATCAGGGAATGGAATCCATGAAGAACCAGGGAATGGAACCAATGGAAAAGCAAGGAATGAAACCCATGAGGAACCAGGGAATGGAACCCATGAGGAACCAAGGAAAGGAACCCATGGGGAACCAATGGAACCCTTGGAGAACCAGGGAATGGAACCCATGGTAAAACAGGGAATGGAACCCGTGGGGCACAGAACACCACAGAAAATCAGGGAGCAAAGTCCCATGGAAAAACAGGGAATGGAACCCATGGGGAACCAAGGAAAGGAACCTATGGAGAACCAGGAA